AAATAACCACAGTTTTTGGACTTACTCTAAGATGGCAGAAGGGAGACACACTTTCAAGGGTGGAAACTGTTTTGTAAATCTTGGGCTTTTCAAATTCTATGGGCTGTGTACGCGTGCGTGTGCATGCTTGCGTGTGCATTCGTGTGCAAGTGGGTGACCGGTGATGGAGGAGCCCGGCGAGGGTGTGATGTACTTTAAGAAGTTGAACGTGTTAGATAGAAGTGACCATGTGCCACCAGTGAGAAAGAAGAAAAAAAACTGGAGAGAAGATTTGCTAAAGAGAAGAGAAAGGTGAGGGGGGGGAAAAAGTGATATGCCGGGGATCGTAAAAGTGCTGTGTGGGAGGAGAAATTAGTGATTGGTTGCACAATGAAAGCAAAAGAAGGAGGCAATGCAAGTTTATGTGTGGCGATGAAGGAGCGAAAAGAAGCAAACAAGCCCAGAGAAGGAGAGGAAAACAGCGAGAGGAGAAAGGAGCAGAGGAGCGAGGGCAACGAGCTGGATTGAATACCATATGACAGGACCAGCTGGGAGTTTGCCCGCCCCGCAGCACCGTAAAAACCTCTCAATATGGAGGCCAATTACTGCTGCCCGCGTGACCGTGGCATGGCAGCTTCAGAGGCGCAACCCTCCTCCCCGCCTCTCCTTAGCTGTTTCCTCTGACCCCCCCCTCCCCACCCCCTATTCCCCTCCTCGTTTTCCTCACACCCCTCCCTAAAAATAAATAAAAAATACTGCCACCATCTGTGCAGAGTGACAACAACCTCTACCTTACCATGCACAACACGGACTGTACCGCACACACGCTTGGGGCAAACGCACACATCTAACATGACAAACCCTCACTCTTGGGCTGCTTTTGTACTCGACGGCAGGTTAGGGGTTTGGTTTCAGCGTGTTTCAGTGTGTGTGTGTCCGGAAAAAACAACAACCCAGTGAGGTCTGATACTTTCACAGCACCCCGTGTAACACACAAAGACAGTTAAAGCAGGGATGGGCATGCAGGGAGTACACAATCCTGCACAATCCTGCAGGCACGCACACTAGCATTGTTCCGGATGCAGTGGAATTCCCCCCCCATGCCAGCTTCCCCTCTCCTCACAGAGCTGGGGCGTGGCGCTGGCAGGGTGAGGAGGACGGAGGGAGGGTGCAGGTTGGGTGAGCGGGATGCAGCGGCACCTGATGCCCGTTGCGGTGGAGGTGACTCCCCAAATTTAGCCCTGCGTGCTCCCCAGACAAGCTCGTCTAAATGGGGTTTTGGGGTTTTTGTTGCCCCCTCTTCAACTAGTGCTTGGACGAAATGATGAGCTTGTTTCACATAAAACATGTTGCATATGCATCATAGAGCTTTCTCTTATCACCCTATCTCTCTCTCGCACACACACACACACACACAAAGACACACACACACACACACACACACCACACAGACGGCTCTGATTTTTTAATATTCAAATTGCTCTTCAGAGGATGGTTTATTTTTGGTTCCCACCTCTGTCACTCTTCGCTCCCACACAACAAAACGCTCGATATTATATGTTTATGTCACTGATAATTCCAGTAAAATACTTCTTTTTTTTTAGATTAGTCCTAATATTTAATCTGATAATTGTTAACCTAATCTCATAAATGTGAGTAAAACTCTCCAGATGGAGATGTAAGCTCAGGCCCTTACTTTGTTGTGCATTTTTCCACTGATTTAGCAGATGAGTTGATCATTTTTATTAGAGCTCTTTGTGGGTTTATTTAATTACAGTAATTGCATGGCATTTTATAAACGTTTATTTGAACAATTACCGTGAATATGATCCCAATTAATTGATTTTATGGACTTTGGTTACGTCAGTTAAACGCAATTGGTCACGGATGTGTAGAATATCCCACATCAGCAGATACACAACATATGACAAAACGCGCGTCTTATGAGGAAAAACCATCAAATAATTCTTGAAGGTCGGCAAAGGTTAACACGGGTTAAAGCATCATCAATTCGTTTTCTTCCTGTAATAATAACGAAAATAACCACAATATCGCCATCAGCGTTGTAATAAATGAATCCCATTTACTTCTAAGGGTAAAGATTGAATGATCTAAATGAGGCCGGATCCACAGGTGAGTTTCACGGGTCGGAAGTCCCTCCCGCGTGAACGCGCGCCGCGAAAACAACCGTTAACAAGTCGTTAACAATGCAGATATACCCGTTTACTTCCATGCCTCGGCCTCACACGCAACAATACGTGACCGTAAGAAAGAAAGAAGAAAAAAAAACAGGGGGGTCTCTTTCGGTCCGGGGCCGCGCCCGGACACTCAGCCTCCTTTAGCGGCGCGGAATAATGAACAGATGCTGAGTGAATTAGCAAAGAAATACCGGGTCCCTCCCACAAGGGCCACTTTGGCAGGGGCCGCCTGGCTGCCACGTGGCGCAGCTGGCACCGGGCTTGGTGATGGTGGGCTTTACTGGTCTCCGGCTTTACTGGTGCTCAGACATTTAGCGACTTGGCAACGCGCTGCGCCACCAAAGTGTCGTGCCAGCCGCCGCCCCTCCTCACTAAAAGAACTAACTGAGAGGTTAGAGCAGAAAGTAAAACCAGAGAGGTGTCTCCCGCCGTGTCCTCCGAGACCTGGACACCGAGGTGGACCGATAATGACAGAGAGGGACGCCGGGAAGAAAGACAGTTTCAGCATGAACAGATTTTTACGGTGACCTCACTCTCACACAATACACCAAAAGGTTTAAATAAGGAGTCACTCCCACAAGTGTCTCAGGATTTTTTGTTTGCATTTACTGACTCGGTGAACGGATGATGTCATAAAAAAAGGAAAAATCCTCTCAACCTTTAGGAAATGTAAAGTAAGTTTCTATCACGATTTGACCAATCAATGATATTAAATGTCAATAACCTTTTAAAAACGTAAAGTAGTTAATAAATACATTCCTAATTGTCTGAAAATGATTCATGTTCTGTAGATGTAATGTTATAAACAGCAGTTCCCATATTTGAGTGCAGAAATGGGACCTCTCATAATACTTCTTTTTTTTTTTTTTTGCTTTTTATTGAGCAACAGATTTTTAAGCGTTTCACGGATAAAGCTTTCAAATTGGTTTATCTGTATTTTTTTTAAACTCATGTAACTATTTGGGTCGTTTTTGGATGTGTGAGTCTTTCATTTTAAACCAACCATTGATTCACCTGATTTCGCACCTGCCCAACTCTTCAAGCAACAATTTAAATTAAATTAAGAATGTTGAAAACAGTGCACATTTTTCCAGTGTAGGTCCTCGGCTTGCGTAATATGCTTACATCTCGTCTATTCTTTGCCGGGGTCAGTGCTGGTTGGGACCGTTTCCGCCCCGTAGTGCCCGGTGCTGATTTCCCCTGGACGTCGGCAGCAACATATGGGACCCGGGGCAGCGGTCCAAAGATGGAGCCTGCCCCCACTTTTGATTTGAGAAATCACCAATGATAAGACTACATGAACCCCACGTGTCAAATATTCAATTCAAATATTGTTTTAAAAAACGGGAATGTGCATGTTGCAATGTTGAAAAGCTTCAATTTTAATATTTTTGAAACTGCCAGTATAAATGTTAGTTTATGCAAATATGTGGTTTGTGGTGAGACTTTAGGGTCACTCATTTATTTTAATGAATTAAGATAATTGTGTTAATTACACTCACTTGGGATGCGGATGTGACCAGGCCGACATCCCCTTTCTGTGCACCTTCATGTGAAAATGCAAAATGTGTGTGTTGGATGTCACATTGTCTCCCTTTCGACATGTGGCTGAGGCCTTTTGCCCACTCTCCAACTCACTACGTTGCCGAATGTACCTCAGAAAAAAGTCAAAAGACACACAACTAATTGTAAAAAATACTATGGATTTAGGTTGTACATTTCTCTTGGTTTCGAAGAGCTAACTGCAGTTTAAAATGGTCTTTCTGTTGTCAGTTGCTCACTTTCAACGACTTATAAAAATGTTTTCTGTTAACACAAGAAAAATATAAAATAGCTCAATTGCTGTGCTCGCTGTGTTGCTAACACGTGCAATGTATCTGTATTTACTGTTCAGACAGTTCTGCAGATCAGGTCCATCTAATCTGAATAATAGCGTCTCATTTTCACTAATTCAATAATTCCAGCCCGAGGTGATCTCTAAGGAAACACACATTTATCACATTTGGCAGAATAAAGTCCCCATGAATGGTGTGTCAAATTAAGGCCCCTTCTAATTCAAAGCTGCTTCATTGTCCATTCTGCTGAGTGAGGATCAAACAAAAGTGGCCTGAAAAATGCCCTTCGACTCTCGGGCTTTTACGAGTTGAATTTTTAATATACCCTTGGCTAATTTTGTTTAATTTTTATCTTAACTGCCCAATATCCCCCGTTGAATAATTTGAGAGCAAGAATTTTGTGCATTTTGTACTAATAGCTTTTAATGTCATGTTTTTCTTTTGCCCTGTTGTCCAGATTTTTCAGAACAGGTCTGGGCACTTATTAAAAAATATATAGTGCTGTTTGTGTGCAATGTGCCTCCATTATTCATGTCAATACTTAGTTTCTCCCACACATTCCTAATTATAAACTATCTTACACAAAATAGACAGTGTGGTATATTTTAAATGAAAATAAGAAATATTTTCAAACTAGCTCGGCTACTTGTATTACTGTCATCTATGAACAATGTAGACAAATGTCTAGCTAAACCCTTCAAAAGGCGATCTCAAAAACCTGATATCAATTTTAAAAAAGCAAAAGAAGTTTAACTAAAAATGTTTTTTACATTCCTGTTGGAACCAGTATCCATTTTGTTTCCAATTCCATTGTCAATCACTTACTGCAGCCAAAGACTCTCCATGACAAGATTGCAGACGAGATCTATTTTTGTTCATTATTTGTGTGGAAGTTTTATTATTTGTTATATTTTAATGACAAAGCCAGAACCACATGCTTCAGACCAGCCCAAGTGATGATGTTCAGAAGAATAATTATTCGATCATATCAGACAGTTGTAAAACATTTTTTTTTTTTATTTCTGTTCTTTGAGTCATAACATGTTTAGGCCTATACATCTTTTAGGTCAATTGCGCTCATTCTGCATACAGGATATCACTGGGCACACGTTGATAGGATGTACAACAGCTTAGGGATGACTTACAGAATACAGAAGGTAATCATAGGACTGCATCTTTCATCCTTTCGGATGCTTCTCTTGTTTCCCCAACAAACGATACACGGTATATAGGATTGTCATAAGGGGCGTAATGCGCCTGATTGTGAAGGCTCAGTTGTGGAAAAAAGCATTGAGATCCTCGTACGGAGCCGCCCGGTCGTGATGCAAGTGCCCGTCGTGGAAAGGTGGAATGTTTTCCGAGTGCGAACCGCCGCTGCGCGCTCCCCCCGAGGGCCCGAACGGTGCACTGTGGCCGGGCCGAGACGTGGCCAGTCCGGAGTAATGCATAGAGTAATGATAGTTCCTGTCCGCCTCAGAGGGAGCCTGCTGCCGGCCGGACAGTCCGCCGTTCAGGCAGACGGGCGGACTGTGCGGGGCCTCGTAGTCCGGGCTGCTGTACTCCGGGGACGTCCCACCCGGCGGGTACACGCCCTCGTAGCCGGAACCGTAGGATTGGCCCCGCACGTTAAGCGCACCGCTGCCGGGCTGGTAGTGCGGGCTGGAGATGCGGGAGCACCGGTAGGAGTACGGGTGGACGGAAAAGGGAGAGCTGGGCATGTGGAAGCGGGCTCCATCGGAACACGGTTCGGTCAGGAAGTTTCTGGTGTTGAGCTGCAAACAGCCTGCCACCAGGTTGGTGGTCGGCTGGGACAGGCCTTTACACAGCATCTGCACGTAGGCCACCACATCTGGCCGTTTCCCGTTGCGTAAAATCTCCCCAAGGGCCAAGATGTAATTCTTGGCCAGCCTCAGAGTCTCTATCTTGGAGAGTTTCTGGGTTTTTGAGTAGCACGGCACCACTTTGCGCAGGTTGTCCAGCGCCGAATTCAAGTCGTGCATGCGCGTGCGCTCCCGCGTGTTCGCCTTCATCCGACGCACCTTGGAGCGCTGGACGCGCGCCGCCGTCATTTTGCGTTTCTTGGGGCCGCGCTTCTTGGGCTTGTCGCCGCTGTTCTCGTCGCACTCCCCCTCCTCGGCCTCGTCGTCCTCGTCGTCGTCGCAGGCCATCTCGGACTCCGCTCGGCTGCTGCCTTCCAGGGGCTCGTCCAGGTCGTCCTCGTCGAGGGTGTCGCGATCGTCGTCCTTGGTCTTGCAGTCCTCGGTCTCATTGTCCTCCACCCAGTCCGCCGCAAGCCTCTGGACGTCCGGCAGGACCTCGCTGAACAGACGGCTCAACATCGTGGTAGAAACAACCTGCAGGAGACACAGTGCACAGTTTGTGTGGGACTCGTTCGCACACTGCATGCTGTCGACGCACCCATGGGTGCCCCGTCAACGCACGAAGGCCGCAGAGACCGCCACAGACGAAATAGTACACATTGATTCATTGATCAAAGAAAAACACCGTGGTATTATGTTTGTAATTTCCGTTATTTTTATATTTATTGTGAAATGAATCCAGTTTATTGATGACCTGTGGAATTTGGCCTTGAGATGAAAAGATGCAGATATTTTCAAACCTTTTTTGCATTTTTCCTCGAAGATAGATTCCACAAATAGTGAGGAGTATTTTATTACATTTGTAAAATAAAGTTGGATCATTTTGATGGCACAAAGCATCAGTCCCAGCGTGTGCCTCGGTCTGTGCCCTCCAGCAGTCCGGCACAGGCGCGGTGCTGTCCGGCTCCAGCGGGTCCCCGGGGGACGCATTAAGGGTGCGGGTCCCTCCTTCGTCCTATAAATCACCAACCTGGAGGAATTCCAGCACAGCCAAGCCTTCCTGGACCACTGGGTCCCAAACACTTTATATCTCTCAATTATCCGATATTTTGTTTCTAATTCGCTTTAAATGACATTGAATTCATCCAAAAGGGCACACTTGAGTTTCTGTGATTTTAACCAATATTTTGTATGACTTCGCAGATGACGAAATGCGCGTTCAGGGTCAGAACCTCTGCGGGTTCACGAAACCTATTTGGACCCTCGAGACTACAGATCGAAAACATATCTGATATATTTATTCACGGAAATTTAACCTGTTCAGTATAAATGTTTCAATGAGAGCTGCTGAGTGTGCGTTTAATTTGGACCGTCTTAATTTTCGTTTCACGTTTATCAAATCTTAAATTAAACGTGATTTTAATGTGATATTTTATCATGAGATTTCGTTTAAAAGCTCACTTATGGCTTTCCCATCAATGGTGTCACTGATTCCCAAATGCAAAGTTATTTATCGAAGCAACATTTAGTGAAAAAAAAAACTGTAATCTGCCAACATCTTCATGGATGATGGCGGTGTTCAGAGCTCAGCTGTGCGTGCGGAGTCCAAGGACGCCTTTTTTTCTAATCTTGTAAGCACAATGTAATTAATGCCAACCAATACCTTGTCAATTAGCCTGTGCATCTCTATGGAGGATTCTACCCCCACGGTGCGCTGACGCGCGTCGTGCACACGCACACACACACACTCACACACACACACACACACACACACACACACACACACACACACACACACACACACACACACACACACACACTCGGACACAGACATGCACATCCACACATCTTTATGTTTTCTATTTTCAAATACATTTTACTCCAGTGATTTATTCCTAGCACGCCGCAGATGATGAACAACAGTGGCAGAGTACACCGGATTCTCTACGGATCAATGAGGATTTATAGATCTACAATATTAAACGTCGTTAGATCTTTAAGAGCTGCGACAAAGAACCCAAAGAAGAGATTAAAAGCGATCTAATCGTCACAGTGGAGAAAAAGATGCGAGAGATTTCAGAAAAGAAAAAACAAAACACTCAGTAATATTTGATAGATTCTCTTATCCCCCCCCTCCCCTCCTCACCAAAAACAACACGCATCAACAAGACCAAAAACACATCTTGATCCATACCTGACATGCTCGTATCTGATCAGAAACGGTGGAACCTACCTCCGTTGGTGGAGCTCGGTGACGGGGCAAAGCGGGTTTGTTTACACCATGTCGCTCCGGGTGGGCATCTCGTCCACACGCCCCGCGCAGGGATGCTTGTGCAGGCGACGCGCTGCGTTCTGCTCTCACGCCTCTCTCTCTCTCTCTCTCTCTCTCTCTCTCTCTCTCTCTCTCTCTCTCTCTCTCTCTCTCCTCTCTGTCTGCTGCTGCTGCTGCTGCCCCCAGCCCAGACGCGTGGAGGGATCCGTGTGGCTCCTCAGAGGCAGGACTGGGTGGGTTACATACCAGCTCTGATGCCAGGCCCATATGGCTGGCACGTCATTGGCAAGAGCCATCACATGAGAGCCGGTGATTGACATGCGGCCGCATTCACAGAGACTGGCTTCCCCTGGGGGAGAGGGACTCGCCATCTGTCACTGAGCTGAAAGAGAAAATGGAATAAGCAGTGAATGGCACAAAAAAAAACCGCACTGGATTCAGAGAGCTTCTGTTAGCCTCCATCTTTGGGAAAAACGGGGTTAATCTCACATAGAAGGTTTATGGGAAACAATCCCCTTAGAGAAATAATTATAGCAATCCTATTATGATAATTTTTAGAATGATATCATCCGAAAATATTGGAATGTTAGAGGATTACTTATAGGCTAATGATTTTGTTGGATAAGGAAAACCTACAAATAATCCACACGAGCCCTGTTGGGACATTTATTAAACATTTTAATGACACAATCAGACAAATTAGGCCATTATATGAACATTTACATCCCTGTAGAAATGCTGTAAACCGAGTTTCCAACATAAGACAGTAAACTGCCCTCTAACAAAGGCCTGCGATAAATAAGAAACCCGCCATAAAGATCAGAGTCAGGGTGCAATTGCCTAAACGAGTCAATTGAACTGAGCCAGGCAGAGCGTCTTGGTTTGGGTTGCCAGGCCTGGCACAGGTGCCGGTGGGCGGGCTGGTGCCAAAGGTGGCTGAGGCACAGATTGTGCAGAGGGACCAGAAGATGGGGCATAGGACAAATAAAAAAAAGGAGTCCTATCGTCACTATGGTGTCGGCGGAGAGCAGTTTTATTGGCTGCTGCAACATTTTCAGTGAAACAACCATTAGATCAATGCGTTTCTGGTCAAGGTTGTCCAGAAGGAGGCGTTTGAACCAGGGGTTACAGCCCAACGTGTTGCCCCTGTGATGTATTCCTGAGGGACACAAATGTAAAAAAAAAAAAGGGCATTACATTCAATTCAGTTAAAAATGTATTTATTTTAATAAATAATTCAATCTTTCTCTTTGTTTTCTATTTGTTTTCTATTCTATTTGTTTTTTAGGCCTATATGAAAACAATACACACAAATAATTGTTTAGTAAGGAGCTGCATATCTGTCTCCCCCATGAAATATTGATTCGGATTTTGTTTTATAGTGTTGAGGCGTACGTGTATGTTAAAGGACATCATGTAATTCCCTTCACAGCAAAAGATGAATCTAATAATAGTTGTTTTTCGACCTTAAACCTCACAATCAAAATGAAGACCTTTAACAACACCTAGATGATGGATTATGTCTGCTTTGCTTTGAGTGGTTTTGTATAAACAGGGACACGTTGAGATCAGGTAAAGTTCTGAGCTTAAAAAAACAGTGTGAAACTCAAACTTTGTGTCCAAACTTCTGAGACTCAAGTCTCATGTAACCTTGAAATGATGCTGTTATATTTGCATAATCTGTGAGTGTTTTTTTTTTAGCTTCAGAAGCAGGACTCATCCGTTCATGTCCTTTCTCCAGAAACGTGTGGGTGACATCTAGCGGTGACAAAGTATTACTGCGCATTTAGTAATGAAAGTGATGTCATTCCTTTTCTCAAAATAAAACACGATAAAAAGTGAGATCTTACATGTTTTGCTAATTATAAATGATGAATTTCATAGAATGGGTGTGTACATACATCCTTCCTGTATCTTGAGACCTTGTTAGGTCTCTTTAAAATCAAATCCCAAATTTCCTTCCCTTTTGATTGAATACTAAATACATTTTTTTTCTTACGTGTGAAATCTAACCGAAGTCGCAATTATATATTGTCCTCCAAAAGACTCAGCTCATTTATTCTGATCGTGAACGTTTTGTAAAGTTCATATTATCAAAATAACCACAAACGCATTTGTAATTCTCTGCGTGCACACCGAGTGGCGCTGTTGTCCAGGACGCGGGTAAATAATTAAAAACAAAAGAGACAGTGTTTGACCCCGAAAGAGCAAAGTATTTTCACCATTGTGGCGATAAGCGTTATATAACGTTACCACTTTCTCCACTGTGTCCGGTCTGGATTTACTACAATAAAATATGTTAATACTTCTTCCACCCCTTTTTTAAAACAGCAGTACAAGATGAGGGACTGCCCAGTGTTTGAACATAAGAAGACACTAAGTCAGAGTTACTCTGCATTACTCTCTACAGATATCTTTTGTGGTGATAATACTATAATCCTTTAAAAATGTTCCTTCATGTCTGAACATTTCATGTGAGTGATGGATTGTATTTGGGGTAATGGGATATTTGACAAGACAAATGAGTTTTGTATTTCATCTGAAGACCTCTTTGGAACTCAGCTGGCGGAGATCTTCTCTCTTATTACCTATTTATCTCATACACTTACTCGTATGCCTGTGGTACCTGCAGCGTATTGTCTTCTGTTATATTGACAGTAAATTAAAGTCATATCTGCATTGTTGTCACGTATGACCCTGCCACCTGTAGCAATAAGCAGCGTGTGCATTTTTACTCTCCCACCTTAAAATAAGACACAAGGCTTACTGACAACTGACAACACTCACCGCTGCAAAGAGAAACTGTTGCCATGGCAATGGATTTCCCAACAAGCACATATTTGATATATATATATAGACATTTTTTTACTGTACTTTGAGGACACACACTGTACATATTAGGTTTAGCTTTGTCCTTCTTAACTGACTATAGTTATTCTAATTGGCTACATGTATTTTAAATCTATTCATTTCATATTCACCCTTCTGGAGAATAGAAAAACATTCTCGCCCTATAACACAATGTCATCAGTATCTTCCTTTCATTGTTCATGGTGTTTAAAATCTTATTTTCAGCCTGATGGCACCACTTTTGCATTGCAGCTACTGCAAATCTCAATATTTATTCATTTATTTTTTTGCCCAACGGCACCTGAAAGCATCACAAAGCTTCCCCACGCACTGCTGCGCGCACGCACACACACACACACACACACACTCCTCTCCTCCTCACTCAACACAGCAGACACGATAGTAGCGGGACACACAAGTGCACAGTGTGTGTGTGTGTGTGTGTGTGTGTGTGTGTGTGTGTGTGTGAGAGAGAGACACAGAGAGAGAGAGAGAGAGAGAGAGAGAGAGAGAGAGAGAGAGAGAGATAAAGAGGGAGGGTAGATAGACAGACAGAGTCAAATGCAACTCCAGAGCCCACAGAGACCAGAGGCTGCTGGGACTTCTACTGTTTTTGTCATTTTGTCTAAATTTCCATCAGATCTGGACTTCTTTTTTTTGTGTGCACGTGTGTGTGTGTGTGTGTGTGTTTGTTGCTTTGGACAAAGGTGCGCTCGCTCGTCTGTTGGAGGTGACCGGCCGGATGCCATGGAACCGCTGCTGCCCGCAGACACGGACGTGATGGAGCCCGAGGCGGACAAGGACGGCAGGAGGAAGATCCAGTTCTCCGTGCCTTCCTGCGGGCCCCCCCAGCTGGACCCGCTACAGGTGGAGATGGTGAGAGCCAGGGCCGTGTGTGGTGATGATGATGAGGATGAGGATAATGGCGGGTGGTGGTGGGCGTGAGCCACTGAGGTCAAACGTGGGTCATGTAGCAAAAGCCCCTTGACAGGATCACCAGTGTGCTTTGTGCAGCTTTAAACATCACTTCACGCTACATCTTAGACTGTTAGCTTTGAGTTGCCTGAAACAACTGGTAAAAGCGACCGTGCAAATGTTCCCTTATAACTTTCATCCTGACTCCTTAGGGACACACGAGTGAGTGTCGCCCTCTTCTGTGGCGTCAGACAGACAGTTACGTAACCAGTCTAGCACGACTGTGTATTTTGATGGGTATAAATCTGTGGGCTGCAGGGTGTGGGCAGCGCTGGGATTAAGCCAAGCTGAGTTTAGCCTCAGTTTTTTGGAAGCCTTAAAAGTGATGAGGCATCGCTGCCCTTCAAACGGAGCGCAGTAGGAGGAAGTGGGGGATAAAGTCCTGTGTTAATAGTATTAAAAATATGATTATGTGCCCGAGTAATAACGCTCCCACCACATCTAGGAAACAGAAATGTCAGAGGTCACATCATTACTCACATGTGACATGGAGGTGGTGAGATATGGAAACATAAATAAGGCCACTATCGGACCCTTGTGCTGAAGCAATCCTAAACAAATGCTGTTGAAACATGCTGACAGGGTCATGCAGAAACTATGCAGGTGAAATAGTGCAGTGTGAACAGGAACAGTGTTGAGTTGTGCAGGACGGGTGCAGATCAGCATTTCGTCCGGTTAAGGCAGCCCGCAGAGGTCACAGAGGTCACAAGATAAATACTAAAGGTCACTTCTTAACGCTATTTAAGTTAAACCAACTCTTAATATGTGTATTTATCCACTGTTTCATTGCAATTTGCAACTCCACAGAAACAAACCGTCATTAGCATTATCCAATCAGGGTTTTACATAAAGATCTCTGGACATTTGTTGATCTGTGTGATTATTAAGAGTCCTCCACCGTGCATCTAACAGGAGCAAAAGTAGGAGCATTCCTCTGTAAAACACGCACAGTGTTCTTACGTAACAAAACAGCTTAAGATACTTCTTCTTCTAGCCCCCAAAGCTAACTCTCCCTGTAGGATCACATGCGCCTGTTCCAAATACATGAAATTTATTTGATTTGACAACGAGTCAATCAAAAAACATTTGTTATAATCCGTGCATTGAGAAGACTGCATGAGAATCTCGCCTTCATTGTTTCGCTGGGTGACTTTTACAAATGGTCATCGCATGTGGCTGCATCTCCGGGGAAAAAGCCAAAACTGCTGAATGGTCTTCAGAGTGTCTGAATGCCGCGAACAACGTCTCTGCTAAATAATGGACCTCAGCATGTTGCAGTTACTCCTGGGAGATGGATCTCATTGCATTGACAGAAAAGGAGCATTTCTTGTCCACCGTCTTTTCCCACAAATCAAAGTGGCGATTTGACTTCACCTGCCACCTCTCCAGTGATCCACCGCTGCTCTGCTCAGATGACAGTTTGTTTAGTTCATTCTTTACTCTGCAAAGCTGCTTCTTTAAGACGGTTGTTTTCACATCGACAGCCTTCTCGTGCAGCCCTGTGATGTTGGGCGAAGGGTACCTCATCCTTTTACCGCCCTTTTGAAGGGCTGACGCTGCTGCACGTTCCCACTGAGTGTGAGAGTTTCCACAGCCAGCAGGAGGCCATGTGGGCTTGTGCGTGAGAGTAAGACCAGTTCTTGAGAGCAACATTTCCAAAACACAGCCACATAATTACATCAAATAAAGTGTTCAGAAGGACAAAGGGAGGGGAAAAGAGAGAAAGAGAAAGACTGAGGAGAAAAGTGAATCATCAGGCAAGGAGATCACTGATTCAAACCAAAGAGATTAGCTGTGGACTGAGGCCTGAATCAAGGTCAGCCAATGCCAAGAACCCATTTCCCCTGCTGCACAGCCACCAGCACAAAACTAGGGTTGGATTTGGCTAACCAAGCAGACACGTCACTCCTGAACAGGTCTGCACAGATAATCACGTTTTGATTTGAATCAAACATGTGGAATGCGTGAGATAAAATTGCAGTGGGAGCGATATTCGTTAGAGACAAAAGACATCACTTTGAATCAAATTTTGTGGCGCTGCAGAGGTGTCTTGACTCACACATCATATTCTACAGACTTAAGGAAACCCCCTTACTGGCTACAGATCCAGTTTTCATTGATAATGAGAATAATCCTCAAAAAATATATAATTCCCTCAAACATAAAATAATTTCGCAAATACAATATCAGTCAAAATGAATCGCAAAAAATATTTTTTTCAATTTGGGTTAGGGTTGCATGTGTGTTGCCCTCCTACAATCCCTACAATGAATATCAAGTCACAATGTCTGGTGGAAAACCGGATGAGATGTTTTTTTAATCAACTCTAATCTATTTTTAGAAATACTTCACTGGAAAATAGATGGTGAAATGGAAATAACGGATTTCACTTGTCTATTCTTCAACATCAAATCAAGCTGTGCACAGGATTATTCACAGAAAAGCCTCGTATGAACACAGCAAGGGATTAATGCATTCACTGCATGTTTTAATTGTTTAGTTGACTTTTCTCCATAAAAGGCTCTTTAGGACAAAGTGCCGTCTCTGTGCTTTAAAACGTCCGGATTAAAGCATCAAAGTTGAATGTTTGGGAACCGTGAAGGTCGTCCAACGGTACCGAAAGTAAGGTGGAGGATTGTTGATTTGCACTCTTTCTAGCATTCTTTGGGGCAATGAGGTTGCAGTTGCTGCATTTCACAAAATTTTCCTGTGCAGTCCTCAAAAACTTCTTCTCTTCCCACCCTGTCAGCGTGTACAACGATGGGCATATTTCAGTGAATGCACACTTTTGAGAAATGGCATCTTTTGAAGGCTTGTTTTAAATGAGCTTCATAGGGCTTCGAATTGGTTTAAATGACTTATTATTTGGAGCTCATACATTGTTTTCTACACGGGAAGCTGTTTGAGTCGAGGCCAGAAAACCTAAAAGAAAGTTTCTCACAAACACTATCTTCACATGTGGCACAAGACATCTACTGAGCACAAATAAGATTCGATTCTCCTCAAAAACCAGCAGAATTTAATCTATTACCAGCTAGCTGCATATGCTGATGCATTTTAACACCACGGAACTGATGAAAGTACCGTGTTCCCTGTCGGTGCTCGACCTTCTGGCACCCACATTAACCAAACACTCGGGAAAAAAAGGTCAATGTGTCTGAAAAGGCTCCTAAACAGGTGCTTCACTTGTGGTTTGTTCCTCCGACTGCATTTAGTGTTGTGTGTGTTCTTCTGTGTGTGTGTGTGTGTGTGTGTGTGTGTGTGTGTGTGTGTGAAACCCCTCATGTTTGTAAGAGTGCTGCATTTTAATATTCATGTTGACAACATTTTTTTGGCTCTAATTGGGCGCCGTGTAATCCACATTTAAGTGTGTTCCCCCGCAGCGAGCGGCAGCGATGAATATGTATGAATCCAGCAGTGAGGCGGACGCAGTAGAGGAAGTTACTCGCTAGTTGAGCGAGAGCCGCCCACGCGCTGCATGCCTCCACTCTCAGTTCTCTCATTCTCATTGGCTTGGCAGCCACTTATTACCATAACACGTTACAAAAGAGAGGGAGTGTGATGAATATATTGTATATTTCAAAGCATTTAGTTATTGTTAACCAGAGGGAGGTGTTTTCTTACGTATTGGCAAGTAAAAGTACTCTGAACACAGAATTGCCTCTGTAGTGTTAGAGCTTCTATTAATACCAATAATAAGAACAATAAGAAGAAAATGTACTCAAAGAGGACTTTTCACATGAGAAATGTAGCTCAAAGTGCTTTACAAAGAGCAAAGAATCGATAAGCTGAAACAATAAAAACAGTTGGAACTAAAATGAATAAGGGAAAATTTAAACAAATTAAACACCAATAAGAATAATAACAAATAAGAGAATTGGTAAGAAAAAGTACTATAATTGTAACAATTTCCCTGCAATAACAGTATCTTTAATTTATGTGTTTTATTTCTATTTTTAACTTAACTAAAATCATAACTGTTAGTTGGGCTGAAAATAACATTTCCCATTAACTGACGTTCAATCGCAAAATAACAAAACATCATTTTTTAAACTGTGTGCGACCCAGCACCAATCAGCGAAGGCTGATGGGACGCTGTTATTCGTGCGATGCAGGATTGCAGAAGTCGACTCGCATTTGATGGTAAAATGACAAATTGGGCAAAGGAATGGAAAAGCCGCACTGAGGACGACCACGCGACGGGAACATGCGGTGAAAAATAGCACTTCAATTGAAATAATCCAGGCAGCTCCCGTCTTTGAAAATGTAATCCTTCAGGGACAATCTGGACAACAATATCTTAAATGTTGTTACGCAATGATCTCCTTGCACAGTCGTCCCGAGAAAAAGAAGACTGTAGACATAATGCCAAGAACCACTAGACCTAAATAAAATACTGTAGTCATGACTTGCTCTCCAAGTTTGCTTAGCACGCACGTATATGAAACACGAATTTCACACACACGATGGACTCTTTCTTTCTCTTTTTTAAGATTCGACGTCGGAGGCCGACACCGGCGACACTCTTCAGACTCACAGACCCGCCTTCACCAGAGGAAGACATTGGCCCTCACCAGGTAGATGGGCTCATTTGTGCAATCTCCCTGGAGAAATGAAGAACCGAAGAGCAAAAGGGCTGAATATTGCGTAAAGTTGAATTGATGTTAAATGACTGACCAGTTTGTGTTTCGAGTCAGAGGTGTGAACGTCTTCTTGATTGTCTCTGTTAGGTATCAACGCGCACAGTGAATGCTTTACTCTCAGGCAGGTGTGTCTGTAGGAGGAGATGATTTAGGAATATGAGTGTCTGGGTGGAGAATAGTAGTTAAAAATGTTCATCAGCAGGAACGGGGCTCAACTTTTCCTGCTTTCCTACCATCGTGCTACTGATTCCACCATACAATAATTCAAAAATAATACCAACGCAATACATCATAATTTGGAATGTATCCGACTGTGGGCCGGTGTAGGATGTTTCCACTAACGCAGGACTAAAACATCTACTGTACTTACCGTACATCCGTTAATCCCATGATTTGCATGCTTTGCCTCTGCAGTGGGTTCTGGGGGAAAATGGAGCCTTGAAAGCCAAACTGGTTCACACATCGACCTACGAGCCGCCGTCACTTAAAGGTAAATGCACCTTAAATATATTCTGTGTGTTTCATAATCACGCACGGCAATTTAAGTAACAATCAACACCAAAGAATTTGGGAGACTTGATTCTGGCCTTTTGGGGTTTGTATTTTTTTGGGGGGGGAATATGTTTGTATTCGATAAACACAGTGAGTGTTGTGTGTGTGGGTGTGTGTCAGAATGTGTGTGTGTGTGTTATGCTAGATTAGGAGCAGAGACAGCTGTGAGTCCCTTCTGGATCATCCTGGATTATAGGACGGGCTCACAGCTGCAACATGGCTTCACACACATACACGGATACAACCGTATCAAAAAATGACTATTTGATGTGAATATGTATACTATATCATATTCTGTGATGTATTGTTTATTTGACCCTTACAATCATTACTGTTGCTGCTTGAAATGTCTACATTGTCAGAGGACAGAGGGCACCCACAGCTCAAAAAAATGATATTGAAACACCAAATGAAGCCTTCCATCCATTCATCCATCAGCTGTCCATCCAAGGGGTGAATTCACTCTCCTTATTGTGTAAAATGGGCTCTGTGCTCCTTCATCCTATATCCAGTGTTGTACTTTCAGCTGTCCAGAGAATGGCCCTGGCCCACCTCGCCTCCATGGACATGTCCTCTGTGGACAAAGACGAGCCCTCTTCTGGGGAGGAAGACGGGGAGCGCGAGGAGGAGAGCGAGCTGACTGCATCGGCGGCAGGTTGGTTGAGCGCGAATGAACGTCCCCCTCCCCATGGCCCCACGTCCACGTCGCTTACTCTTCTGAATTGGATTTCTTGGCAGAGCCAGAAAACAAACCGCCTGCTCCACCGGACGGTTTGACAGGAAGTGCCGATCTGAGCCGTCGCCACGGAGATAAAGAGGAGGCTGAAGAAAGAGAGGAAGAAAAAGGAGAATGACACCGGGACGCCGAAGGAGACTAAATGTCAACGTGGAACGGACTCGCGTGGCACCCAAGTGGCCAGCGTGTGTGTGCGTTACGGGTGTTTGTGTGAGTCCGTGCTATGTGGGTCTGTGAGTGTGAGCATGAATGCGACAAAGGAAGTTAATGTGGAAAGTAAGATGGGGGGGGTAAGAGGTGGGGAGGTTAACGAGCAGTTACGAGGAAAATTTTAACCTGAGAGGGAAAGTCGGGGGAAAAAGTTCCACTCAGCCAAGGAATTATTATGAGAACTGCAAAGAACTGTGACGTTTTTCTGTGTTTAAACAGGATTCAACTGAAACCTGAGACTACGGCTGATTTGTTTGAGAAAACTATAACAATGTGTGAAGAATCAGATTATAAATGTACCTTTTTTTTTTGTACACACACATGCACACTGGGCATGTCACACGTTACTGGTGCTGGATCACACATTTCAAAGCAGAAAGAGCTGATGATGTACACAGCTGAAGATAAGCCGGCGTATACAATGTATGCATATTGAAGAATCGTATGTAGTCTGATGTTTGAGGGTCCTGGTGTAAAGTTATTTATAGTATACTATACTAAAGTATAGTTATCTACAAGGTCCAAACGCAATTGCAGTATATGATGCACATTTGTCTTTAAAAGTGGCTTTAAATGCTTACTAACGTATAAAAAGTATATAGCGGACAGTAATATTGCAGAGCCAATTCCCAAAGTCATGAAACTTGCTTTCCTCAATCTTGCGGAAATCTGCATGCAAGGTCAAAGAAATCAGAAGATGTATCGCAGAGGATTGGAGTGCAGTCCTGACCACATCACATGAGACTAATCCAACTAATAACGATACTGCACCACAGTGTAATAATGTAAACACAGCGATCAGCCAGTAGGATCTGTGGGAAACTGGATGAGGACGTATGTTTTCAATAATTTACGTGATGAGTGTGGAGGTTCATTCTTTACCTTGTTTATAGAATATGTTTTGTGATGGTTGCTTATCAAAGAATTATAAAGGTTTGTGTGAATGAAGCTTAATCTGGAAGATCACATTTCTTTTCTAAGAAAAGAGAGACAAAATATCAGTTTGGTATTCTAATGAGTGAGCGGGTAATTTGAACATGTGGTATTGGGTTATAGTGTTTGAATACAATAAATGACAGCAGAGCGCAAGTTTTATTAAATGGAAAGCCACAAAAGTTTTGACACTTTCATGGTCTTTATCTGTGTCCTTTTGTGACCGGCCTTGGATGTACACATGAATGTAGTCTACGACATTCCTAACAAAGTCAGCGCATCAGTTAAACCATAATGATCATAGTATTTATTTATATCCTCGTCCTTATGATTATAATAAAGAGCAGTTTACAAACTGAGTTTATAAAGATGTAGCATGCAGCATTTTCCTAAAAAACAATGTACTCCCACAAAAACAGCTGTCCACAGCAGCTGGCATTGCCAGCCAAGTAGCAGCTCACGTGATGTTTAGCGATATCAAGTCTTTTTACACACATCGCCAAAGAACCTGTTTTTGCTGCATTGGCTATATTTAAGTATAGCAACTCAAGATGGCAGTGATTAAAAGTTTTAATTACTTGATCCTATTCTCAGTGGCACATCAAAAGTTTATGTTGATACCAAAGCAACCGTTAGAATAAATGCGTGGGAAATGTTATGCAATGATTCATATATACGATCAGAGGTTGAATGCATTTGGAAATCAGTTTATTTATAATCGCAAATGAACAGAACGAGCAACTTGTCAGCCTCTTCACTGAAGAAAAAAATAAGCATATCAAAATATTCTGTTTATGAACCGCTTGGATAACATGTGTGTCATGATGTGAAACGCTTACCCTGAAACAAACACAGAGGCATTCTTGATGCTGCTGTTTGAACTGCAGGTGGCGCTGTCCAATTACATTTCTAAATGGAAACGTCTCTTCATTGAAACTCAGAAAAAACATTTACTGAACCAATGAAATAACAATGAAGTTAAATAATTATCTGCATTTACTTTTAGTGATAGAATAGAAGTAATAGAATATTTGTTGTGTGGTTATTATTAGCATCATAAATAACCCCATTCTTGTTTAAAACGTCAGCTCTGCCAAATCAAGCAAACAACTTGACTTAATCAATAATAATTTCATCTGCATATATCTTCTTCACTTTCATTTTCAATATTAATAACCCTTTGTGTGTCCTCTCTTCCTCCACTCTAACTTTTACTCCTTTACTGCTTTTGCAAAAAACACCCCAGACACATCATCGACCCCCACCCTCATGTCCTGGGGCAGTGTGTACACCTCCAGCCTGATCAGGGTGTAGCCGCTCTCCTTCAAACTGGCGCAGACCTGGGCCTCGTTCAGTGGAACCACGGGGATCTTCACGCCGGGGCCCCCGAAATAGTAACTCTCTCCCAGGGCCCCGATGAGCAGGAGGTGGCCGCCGGCCCGCAGAAGCCTCCCGATGTGGCCCAGGGCCCTCGTGAAGGCGGCCAAGTCCGGGCTGACGCTCTCCAGGCAGAAGCAGGACACCAGACAGTCCGCCCCTGCTGAAGGGAGGTCGTCCAGGGACAGAGGCTGAGGGCGGTGGACGTCCACGGGGACGATGTCCTTGACGACCTGACGTAGCTTGGCAGCTTTCTCTGTCCATGCTGAGGGCCTGAGACAAGATCAATGAAATGTGATTAAAAAAACAGCTTTAATAACCGGTACGCAGTATCAGTCTTCACCATTTGAAGCATTTGTATATAACACTGCCATTTTGGTGATTCCCCGAGTTGTCCTCCGGGGCCCACAAAAAGTCGAAAGGGGTCTGTTCATACCGTCGTCCCTCCAGCTTGCAGACGTGCTGCAGGTAAGGTGTCCAGTCCAAGCTGCTGGCTCCCTCGTCCTGGAACCAGCCCCTCAGCTCCCGCCGGTTGACCTCCAGGTAATCTGTGAGGAGCACCTTGTTGAAGACCTCACAGCCGCTCAGCACCTGGTACAGGGTGGGACCCGAACCGATGTCCACCAGCAGCTCGCCATTCACATCGCCTGGAAAGGAAGAACACCGTGATTGATAGATCGGCTCTTGTTCACACGTCTGAATACAAGTTAGATGTGTTTTAGATTGTGTGGTTATTCATACGCTTCAAAGGTCAAGTGCTGGACGTGGACCAGATTTATCTGGAACTACCCTGTATTAAGAGTTAAAGTATGTTTAGAATATTGATAAAAGGGTTTTAGTGAAGAGTCCTTGCAGGTAAATTGCAAAGCGAAAATGTGTGTAATTTTTTATTTAATAAAATGTAAGCTTCCAATACATAAAAAAAAAAAACTATTTTATTACTTTAATTCTCGAAGGATTTCTCATAGTCATATAAAAAGTTATTCAAATTCAGTATATTCAATTAAATATTATTGTATCTATTAGATTTAAGAGATAGAGTGAGAACAACATCCGGCCTAGAGCATTTGACTCTTAACTGGGTTAAAGTTTTGGTGTGCAATTAAAGTCATTGTATTATCACCTGTCTATAAGTTAGGTGTGTAAATTGGAGAATATCGTTTTTTCACACGTTATGTTGTTTTTTATAGGCTACATTTCTTAACTGAGCATCTACATAGTATTAACGTAGTTCATAGACTTTTCTTTCTTCTCGTCTCACCTTCAGTGAAAGCTCGATGCAGGCATGCCAGTTTCCACGGCACAATGCTGTCCTTTCTCTCAAAATCTGCCCGCGGCGGAGTGTAGTTATATTGCAGATACGCTGCAGGGTCGAATCCCTGGTAGCAGGCCGCCATGGCTGCCACTCCGTTCTCTGTTCCCTTCTCTTCCATCGCGGCGTTTTCTTTGAGAGCCTGACGTTGGGTGGTCAGCCTTTAGGTGCACCGTCACCCTGTCCACTGCCTTATATACCTCCACGAGTGTTTTCGCCGTGTGCTTTGGGCCACTCTGAGTCTCCTGGGCAGAGATAGCGATCCTGTTTTTGGGGCCTGTGTTGCCGCCTGATAGCATTTGCTCTGTTCACGTTCCCTGCCCCGAGGTGCTGATACCATCAGATCAGGGGGGCTTCCTCCAACACTGGACCCACTAATGGACTTTCAGGTCGTCCACCCGCCTTTCAGAGGCCCTCCGTATCTCAACAATCACTCTAAAGGGCCTTTTACATGCAAACAATGGACCAGTTTTGACACAGGCGGACCCTGTTTGAAAGACACAAACAGATTTGTCTCCATTTCCATGTCGCCATTTTACCTCGATGATGTTTGAATTGGGCGGCGGAAAAATGGGGAGTTGTGAGCGGGAGCTGAAAGAAAAAGAAAAGTCTCTCATGCTGACAGGCGATAGTAAACATTACATCATTGGAGGTTAAATTGAATCCACCAAAAAGAGCAAGATGTTAGCCCACTAAAAACGGACTTTTAATGAAAGAGACTGACACACAGTTGCTGCACTTTTTTAGTAGATCTCAAACTATTTCGTGGTGTTACTTCGTATATGCACTCTGGAAGCAAATTAAAGTTCAGGTTTAGAGGACATTGAAATCCACCGGCGTAAAAAGATTGAAGAAATAAAGACATTTACATGTTCATGCAAAGATGATTAAACGCCCGTGGTTAATACTGATATATTAATCTTTATGATTGGGTGCCTGATCACAATGTAAACTGTTATTCTGCTCTCCAACGTTTACCTTGTGAAGATAAAGGCAGTTTTTACAGCAGTGGTTCACATTTAAGATTGACACTGTTATGTCAACTCTTCAAATACATTTACTGACTCCCATTAAAAGTATTTTCAATACTTATCTCACTTCACTGTAGCTGCTCGGTGTGGTTATTTTGCACCAGGGAATGAGACCAATTTTATTCATCACCCAGTTGACATAACTTTGTGTATATTTTAAAACATCTCGCCACAGAGTCCAGCTGACTAAACCGCGAGCTTCAACCCCTGATTAAATTAATTTTCCATCTATTCCCAGCGTATTCCAGAGCAACAGCTGAACTAATCCATGCCATGCTGTAATCAACTGTATTTTCCCCAGGAGTCTATTAACACCTTGCTAATCCCTGGCAGCTGTACCGTAATCCCGAATACAAACGCCCAAAAGACGTGACCCCCCTCCAGACATCCAAAACACGGCTGTGTCCAGGGGACATGAGGTATTTGGGATTTGGAATTCTGCAAGGTGATGTAGTTAAAATAAGGTTATTTGAATGTTACGGTTAGAGTAGAACTATGTAGAATGTGACATTTGTTTTTTTTTTCAATGCAAAAGTCTATTCAATTGCTTTTGGCAAGTTTATTATTGTTTTGGATGGAAAATCCTTGTAGAAGCTTATAAATGTTCCCAATTTTTAATACAAAGAAGCAATAAAACACAGATGTTCAGATGGACAGCAAAGTGATTTATTAGAATAATGAAATACATACATGGACATTTTTAACCTCAGTCTTCTTTACAGTACACAAAGATAATAAAGATACAACTCACATTCCAAAACAATTGCCTGAAAGTACCAAAAACATTAATCATTGTGAGCATTGATCTAAATTATTTTCATGCTAATGATTCAATCTCTCTGCAACAGTTACAATTTTTTATTATCCCACATGCTTTTACCCAAAAGGTTCGTCACAAACACAATCTATTACGAATCAATCTGACAACATGGTACACAAGAATATTTTGTATCTTGTTTATCAAGACATAACTTTTATACCAGGAATCTTCACCACACTCTTCCTCTCTCACTCGTCTCTGACACCCTTTGCTCTTGTGGTCGCACAATATTCTTCCTTCTGTATATGAGCTGGACCTCGCTGCACCTTCGGCCCCATGGTGGAAGGGTCTGAGATGAGCTGATGGGGTCTTCTGGTCAGGTGCGTTTTGGGATGTGTGTAATTCCTGCTGATGGCCCCCGAGAGGAATCTCCGCAGGAGCCTCCTGGCCTCCCAGTGTTTATCCGAGCTCTCCGCCTCCATCACTGTCCTTTGGACAACCAAACAAACAACCGTACTTCCCCCTCAACGTCAATTTAGCTCGCTTGGTTTTTCTACTCACCTGTGGGGATGCTGTGGAACGAGGGTGAGGCTGTGCCAGTGAGCCATGTAGCTCTGTCCTGTCTGCCAGTCCTCCTCCAGGACGCTGCACTCCAGTTCAGCTCTCCCAGTACCACCCACACCGCACATCCCCGCTGTCCACCGATCGCGTCTGGATTGGATCAGTCTGAATAATAGAGGTCAGAAAATTCTCAGTTACGGGTCTAGTAATTATCTCAAAGTATCTCATAAAGTAACGTCACTCCTGCTCATATTTTGTATTTGACTCATTTATATGCTGTATATCATTTTTCTTTTCTGTGCCGCTCTGCTGTATACTGTTGATGTGTAAGGGTGTGAAAGTCTTATTTTGCGAGGACAAACATAAAGTTTGAGGAAAGTGGGGGACTCTGTGACGTAGTAGCATTTGAAGTTCTTATCACATCCAGACTTAGACTTATATTATATATTTTGGCGTCACAACGCTTTCATAATTGACAGGCCTTAATAAAAACTGCAGAGAAAATGATGGACATATTACTGAAAGGTAATATGTGTTGAAGGAATAGAAATGACTCCCTTTAAAAATGTGGCCATTATCACAATTTTAAATCTATTCTAGAGGCTGCTTAGATTGTCATAGATTGATAGTAAAATTTTAAATAATGATAAAATGTCAACGAAACTTACTTTTTTTTCTGATCCTTTCTTCAAACAAACCTTTCGGCTCACTCTTTATGTTGCTTTTTTCCGTTTGCTTACAGCGATCGTTGCCCCTCGATGTTTGCCCGAGAGAACTTCTCCAGAGATAGATGTGGATCTTCAGTGGAAACAGTTGAGCTTCTCTGATCTGTTTTTGTTCAGCGGATAACTGGTCAGCCCGACTGTGCGAGTCGAGCATGAGATGGGTTATATGACCATGTATCTGAGGCTATTTTAGACTGCCGCTGCCCCCACCGAGACATGTTGATATTAGAAACAATCAGCCCGTTTTCATTTGTCAAATACCACAGCTTTGTCACACCCTTCAGTGAATGCATGAGACTCACTGGCTCTTCAGTGACTACGATGCCATCCTATCCAAATGCATTATCAGACGCTCACAGAAAAACCTCCAGGACTAGGATGACGTAGAAAAGGCTCATATAGTTTGGAAGGGAGGTTAGGTCATTATAACACAGAACTTTCTACCAAAGGACTGGTGATCCCGTGCCAAAGTTACACTGGTGGTATCACTTGTTTTTAATGTTGTTGTTTTTTCTCAAACCTCAAGTGCTGTTGAGTGAATTCAAATGTGGTCACTGGATAAGAGAGGCAATTATTGCCCGTAGGTACATTAAATGTTGTACTTCTATCGAAAACAAAGTGATGAAAACGAACAGATCTGCAGGAAGTTAAGAGGTTGTGCAGATACGAACCCACGCGGCAGTTAGTGAATAAGTGTAGCCAGCAGTAAAGTAGTGGTCAGATCGTTCCTGTGAGTCGGATGGAAAGATAAAAGAGCCAACGGTGGGAGGAACAAAGAAGAACAGATAAAGGGAAAGAGCGGACTACAGAGGGAAGAACAGGGCATATATAATGGAATAACACACATTTAGCCAGAGAAACAGGAGCCAATTTTGTTATCTATGGTCCTAGAGGCAGGGGGAGTCCGACAGTGTCAGTCAAATCTGCTGCGGGTAACTTTTGTCACAGTAGGATGGTGCAAGTACAGAAAACCACCATCTCTACTGCAGCCCCGTGATTTCTCCACCCCAGGGTGAAAATATAATGTGCACAGGTTAATGAATTACAGCTGGTTCCACTTTGTTCTTCAATTAGTTTCAGATTGACAAACTGAGCATATTTAGAAATGAACAGTGAAGAAGTTTTTTTCAAACTTTGGTTGCCCTGTATAATTTTAAATACGAGATAGACGGTTCTGATTATTGTTTTTATCAAAATGTACTGATTCATGTGATTTATAGTGATCATTAGTTACAAATCCTCTTTTTAAAAGGCCTTTGGCTTTTTTAGTACTTTTTAGCAAATATATTGTTTTTATTGTAGATATCATCATTTACAATATGACAGAACGGAGAACATAAGCCACCATACTAAAATAAGGAACAGGCAGGAATCCAACATGGTATCCCAACGTAAGGTAACTGTAAAAGGAAACTGTTATAAACACAAATACAGGAGAAAGGAAAAAGATAACAACGAAAACAAATTGTTAGTGTAAGAAGTAGCGTTTTATATTGAAAGGTGTTTCACTTCCGCTCGTGTTCCGCATTCGGCCGGCCGGCCTGACGTCACATCCTGGCACTTCACCTCCACCTTCCATGAGTTAAAAAAACTTCAATTGCAACATCTTAATTCAATGTCAATGCGACCGAGAGTGATACTTTAATCCATTTTCTTCTAACCGTAGCGAGGAACAATTTACAAAGGCGGTGTCGGCATTCTTTGTAAACGTCGGCGGCGGTTTCATCAGCAGCTCTTTTGCCGGGAGAGGAGTCGCTCTCATCCGCACCCCCCCCCCCTTTTGTAGTAACCTTAAATCCGTGCTAAATGGCGGAATAACGGGTGAACAAAGATGAGAAAAACTCATCAGAAAAGGTCGCTCGGGGGCCAAAGCCAGGTGCACAGGACGAGCCGGGACTTCACGGTAAGAACAAACTTAACAAGACAAAAGGGCAATTATACATAAACTATTTATTAGTTCACTAAGAACCACTTTTTATTTTATTTATTTGTTTATTACCCAACTCTAACTTGTTGAATGTATTTGCTGCTCGTGTGTTTTTTCGCATTTCTCACCCTGTAAGTCTTTGAGATAACACACCATGCTGCTGCCCGGGCTGACCCACCTGGACCACCAGAGACACGGATGGCGGCTCCTCGCCAGAACCCTGACCCAAGGCAAGTCCTGCTGCAGCACCACCTATTTTCTAACAGACCCAACATTTTACTGATGAATTGGAGGAACAATGTACAGAATAATAACAGAATGATTCAACCTATGATGATTCAATTAGTTTCAACTTTAGAATGAATGCTTTCGATAAATACCAGACATTTACACTTACTTGATATTGCTGTAAATTAATAAATAAGTTTTGATCTTTGCTCCAATGAAACAATGAATTCAAAAAGGTCTCATCTGGCTCAGGGGAATTGTGACGGGCCATTTCTTATGTGCGTTTTACAAATTAGAAAGCACCTTTTTGTATTTTATTTATGGAAAGTGGACAATGATGATTGCTGTTGTAGCTTACTGTGCAAACTGTGTTTATTGGATGTTTTGCTTGCAGGACCAACCATGGTCAGAACAAGATGTCAAAGGCCTCTCCCCCTCTCTCTCTCTCTCCCTCTCTCTCTCTCTCTACCTCTCTCCATCTCAACGCTTCATTGCCTCAGAGGGATGTGTAGTGTCAGCAGGCTTTTCTGCTTCGCCCGCTGATGTTGCGGTTTTGAAGGCCGTGATTAACTGTTTCCCTGGTTACAGAATCTAACTTGACAGAGGGCTTTACTTTTGTATCAATTGTATTATCAATGGAAATCCGCAAAGAAAATGAAAGGCTTATATCAATATATTGATCAAAAGTGCTTCATACAACAGTGCATTGATTGTATTGTAAACCATGACTTTTGGATTTAATTTTCAATAAATTTGCATTGATAAATGTATCTCCTAATTTAGTTCCCCATGTAAATATGAAGGAAGCTTTAAAGAATGATTAATTAATCACAGTAGAATAGTTTTTGTCATATTTTTCTCCTGAATGACTAACGTGTCTTTATTCAGCCGGTAAAGCCCTCTCTCTTAGAAGTAATGTAAAAATAACGTATTTGCCCTCTGCACCTCCACAAAGCCCACGTCGGCTCCTTTGCACACCGCGGTGAACTGCGTCGGGCCAAGAGGATCGTAGTGAAGCTCGGCAGCGCGGTGGTCACCCGTGGCGATGAATGCGGCCTGGCTCTGGGGAGGCTGGCCTCCATTGTGGAGCAGGTAGGAGGTCGAATAACAGCAAACTTAAATGTAGTACATTATTGAAATTCAAGCTTCGACAGCGTCTGTTTCATTTGATTTCCTTTTCATCCACTGTGTTTGATCTGTTTTTATCTACACGGGTATACTTTATTTCTCATTCTACCATTTGTTTTAGCTGATTCTGTTGTATTCAACTTTCCTTTTCTATTTTTCTTTACTACACATCTACGAGATGCATTGAAGCATTCAATTGATGCAAGTATAATTGATATGAAAATAGAGTTCATCTCTATTTATCTTGCATATAAAACACAATTGTCATTGTTCTTGGATTGTTTACGTGGTAGAAGACACATTGAATTTAAATTCTCAATCAAACATTTCTTGCTTTGAACACCAATAGTGTGATTTTTTTTTTTTAAAGCTGAATCCCCAATGAGTCTAAACAGCAAGTATATCCCGAGCTGTGGTGTATGATTCCTAACTGGCTGTCTCGTTGTCCAGGTGGCCATGCTGCAGAACCAAGGCAGGGAGATGATGATCGTCACCAGTGGAGCCGTGGCGTTTGGCAAGCAAAGATTAAGACACGAGATCCTGCTGTCCCAGAGTGTCCGACAGGCGCTGCACTCAGGACACAATCAGCTCAAAGACGTGGTAGGAGAACGTGGACGGATATGTTGAGGCCTACGGTAACGCTGAGTCACATAATGAAGGCAACCTTTATGAAGTTAAATGTTCAGTGTTTCTTGAGACTCTCACAAATGGGCCTCTCGGTACGTAATGTCATGGTGCCATCGAGTTGATTTCCCTGCAATATAAGGTGTTCTATTATTTACATCAGACATATGCCGGTGGTTATTTTCTGAGAGAATCAAATAAATATCTTCACTGCATTTGTGCTCAGTCTCTGCCAGTGCTGGAGGCCCGGGCCTGTGCTGCGGCGGGACAGAGCGGCCTGATGGCGCTGTATGAGGCCATGTTCACCCAATACACCACTTGCACGGCACAGGTACTTCTACAAGTTCAGAGAGCCGAAGGCCGGCACGCGTTGTGCGAAGTGACCTCTTTCGATCCCTCCCTCGCCCTCTCTCTCTCTCTCTCAGGTCCTCGTGACTAATCTGGATTTCCACGATGACCAAAAGCGGCAGAATCTGAACAGCACGCTGCGGGAGCTGCTGCGTATGAACATCGTGCCCATCATCAACACCAATGATGCCGTGGTGCCGCCGCCGGAGCCCAACAGCGACCTGCAGGGGGTGAGCGTGGGTACAGACGGCGTGGGGGGGTGCTGAAGTGGTTAGTAGAGACCTACGCTCGTAAAATGTGAACTTGTGTCTGTAACCTTTACCTGTCCTCCTGCAGAAACAAGCAAGCACTGAGAAATAGCCTAAATAATTTATTAATTTAGCCTCTTTCTGATTGCACAGATAAAATAAACCCCTTCAATAATATTGAACTTCTAACAAGGGTTTGCAAATCATTTTGGTCCACGCTAACTTTTTTGAGCTATTCAGTGAATCATCCAGATAAAAATAATGCACTGAAATTGAACATTTCGCAGTGCCATAACACAACAGTGATGAAGCCTTTTCACAGAACATGCGTGTTTAGAACATTTGTTTCTGTTTATCAGCTGGCCTCCAGCCGTTAAGAACCGGACCGGACGGCTAAACGGCCGGTGACTGGCTCTCTGTTTTCAGGAGCAGCCTTTTTTTCCGTTCCGTTTCTCTAGGTGATCAGCATCAAGGACAACGACAGCCTGGCGGCGCGGCTGGCTGTGGAGATGAAGGCCGACCTCCTCATCGCGCTGTCTGACGTGGAAGGTATGCGTGTTACCACAACAACAGTCTGGGTCAGCTGTTGGGTAACAACACCATCTGTCCGCGCTCTTTACCCGGGGAAAAATCACCACCCCTCTCGGGGTCAAATGAGAGTCATGTGAAAGAGACAAACACAGACCTGCTGCCTTTGTGTTTGAAAATGATGCTGATGGGGTAACCGCAAAGTGTGTGTGTGCATGCGAGTGCGTCATGAGCTCGGCGAGGGTCCATTTAGTGACTAATCAAGCAGATTGAGAAGGTTGAGTGGGAATCGTCAGTTCTATCAAATGTATGTGCCAGTCCAATGCTGACAGGCAGTAGTATAGAATATATTTCACAAAAGATAACCGGTTATGTGTCTTGCTGCGTTGTGTATTTTGAACCCATGTCCGAGCAAATAAGTTGTTTAAGCACTGCGGAATTCTTAGGATTGTACAACAGCCCCCCTGGAACAGACGACGCCAAGCTCATTGACATCTTCTACCCTGGAGACCAGCAGTCCATCATCTATGGCACAAAGTCCAGAGTTGGAATTGGAGGCATGGAGGCCAAGGTATGTTGAACGCACTAAATTGCTTTGTTAAAAACTCTACATTCAAGTAAAAAAAGCCTTAATTTTAGTGCAAAGCTTTTTGGACAATGCGTGGTTCCAGTACTTTTACTGTGTCATTAAATTCAATTATATTCTTCTCATTTGATGTAATGTATGTGGAAGGTAATCTCATTTATAAAAATTAAAGACCTAGACTTTGTAATTGTGTGTTTTTGCAGGTTAAGGCTGCCCTGTGGGCCCTGCAGGGGGGCACCTCAGTGGTCATCGCAAATGGCACCCACCCCAAAGTAACGGGTCACGTCATCACTGACATTGTGGAGGGCAAGAAAGTGGGAACTTTTTTTTCTGAGATCCAACCTGCTGGTGAGTTTTCTATTCCTCTCAAACAGTACCCAGCGAGGTTAGAATGTTCTGTTTTTGTCCAAAGAGGCTGATTAAAGCTTATGCTTGTATTAGACTACACTAGTTTTAGGTTGGTGTACCTAATAATAAGCTGACTACTGAGTGTACTTTGAGTGAAGTCTGTCCCTGACCCCTGACCCTTCACCAGGCCCAACGGTCGAGCACCAGACTGAAATGGCACGTATCTCTGGAAGAACGTTGGCATCTCTGCAACCACATCAGGTGTCACATGGTTTTAAGAAAAATAAATACTATTGTAATCATTAGATACGTTTGACGTTCTTTAGTTCATTCATTAATAGAATATGTGTTCGTATTGTGATAAACATCTCTAAACACATATGATTTAAAAGGAGCTGAGCTTACAATTGATCCGATACAAAGAAACACTGACCTCTTGTGGATGGATTTTCTCATCCGGCCGATTTTTGGTTCACTGCGTTGTCAGAGGAGTGAGATCATCTGCCGTCTTGCAGAGCTGTTGACTGAAAAAAGTGAAGAGATTCTCACTGCCAACAAGACGGACATGGACCTCGCTGTACATGCAGGTAACAGAGGAACACATTCACTGGCAAGAAAGAATCAAATGTTATTCTACGTAATCATCATATAGCAACATAAACTTACTGACAAAGTAATTTTATTAGAATTGCATAATTCGTACCTCTCCACCAGAGGGCGGCTGCGTCACTTTCTCACAATCTCTCCCTCCTTACAGGCCATTTGCCACCCGCCATGCTAAAGCGCCTGAGTTTGTCACCAGCCAAACTCACCGCGTTGGCCGTCGGTCTGCGGCAGATTGCTGTGGCGGCTCGGGACAGCGTGGGCCGCGTGCTGCGCAGGACCAGGGTGGCTCACAACCTGGAGCTGGAGCAGATAACCGTGCCCATAGGAGTCCTTCTGGTCATCTTCGAGGCCCGACCTGACTGCCTTCCCCAGGTAAGATGTCATACCAAGAACACTTCTGTCTACACGTGTGTGTATACGTTCCAACAAATGTCTCTTTTAGATGGCTAGTAACGCAAACACTTGTTTTTTCTTTACCTCCAGGTGTCCGCATTGGCCATAGCCAGCGGTAACGCCCTCCTGCTGAAGGGAGGCAAGGAGGCCGCCAACACCAACCGGATCCTCCACCAGCTCGCCCAGCAAGCCCTTTCCGTGCACGGAGTCGGAGAGGCAGTGCAGCTGGTAAAAAATGTTGCCTATACATTTATTACAAGGCAATAGAAACCCTGCATGTAACACCTTTTACTGGGCTTTGATTGGGGAATTAGAAATAAAGCCGAGCGAGCTCGTAGGACTTGTAGCGGCTGTGGTTGACGAACATGTATTTGTTACAAGGTGAGCACTCGTGAGGATGTGGAGGATCTGTGCCGACTGGACAAGATGATCGACTTGATTATCCCTCGAGGATCCTCCCAGTTGGTCAGGAACATCCAGCGGGCCGCGAAGGGCATTCCGGTGTTGGGCCACAGCGAGGGGATCTGCCACGTCTACGTCGACGGGGAAGCCAGTGTGGACAAAGTCATCAAAATCGGTCCGCATGTATAAACCTCCCTGATTACTTCTATTGTAAAATTAGCTGTGTGAGTTAGTTTGTTCTGGCTGTAGTCATTTCACAAATAAAATATATATTACAAGACCGTATAGGCCAGGGTTAACATTCTAACCTCTTCACCTTATTTTGGATCGTTGGCCATACACATTACGGCTTTAACCGTGCCAACTGGGAACGTGGCAGGAATTGACTGACATGTGCCCTTTCCAGTCAGAGACTCCAAGTGCGACTACCCGGCTGCATGTAACGCCATGGAGAGCCTGCTGATCCACAGGGACGTCCTCAGGACGCCGCTGTTTGACCAGATCGTTGACATGTTGCGCGCCGAACGGGTACGTCGCTCGGCGTCCAACCCCAAGACGAACGAGGAAAAAAGCTCATTTTCACACACGTTTTTCCACACGGACTCGTTGTCGTCATTGCTCCGTGTTGTCGTCACTAGGTCAAGATTCACGCAGGCCCTCGGTTCGCCTCCTACCTGGCGTTCAGCCCGTCGGAGGCAAAGTCCCTGCGGACCGAGTACGGCGATCTGGAGTGCTGCATTGAGGTGGTGGACAGCATGCAGGAGGCTGTGGACCACATTCACAAGTACGGCAGTTCCCACACGGACGTCATCGTCACAGAAAATGGTAGGTGCGCCTGAAGGCTTCTTGATTTAGTGTTTTTTAATGTTGTGTCAAAAGTTGCAGTCATTGTTTGGTCATGTTTTACCGTACAAATGTTTTGACCGCACTCTTGAGTCTTCGCCTATCTTGTCTTGATGAATTCTTCTCAATGAAGGTATCTGATGTTTATTTCTCCTTCCCACTCTGGATTCACCTTCCCCCTTCCTTCTGCCGCGGGGACTAATGAGCTGTGACACTTTGCTGTCAGTGTAGGGGACGCAGCCCATTTCAAATGTAGAGCAGATGCCTTAAAAACACAGTTGACAGGAGTCCATCCTTGTCGTAACTTTGGGTCATGTAACTGTTTCATTACAGTTTTTTACAGTTTTAGTTTTTTTTAAATCAGCCATTCGGCGACCTCTTTCTAATTCATGTTGATGGAAACCTTTTTGATGCAGAGTCCACAGTATCCCCAAATTCTACCTCCGCATATTGCTTGTAGACTTTATTGAATACTAACATACTTCCATTTTTTAGGACTCGGGACATTTGTGGGAATATCTGCTGCATGAAAATGGGACATATTGCTTTGTCATCATACGTTAGGAATTAAGCTTTGACCCTCTTGCTCATACATCCGTCAGCTGTCCCTGTGGATTAAATCAATGAGCCGTCATTTGTCTGCTTATCTGCCGCATAGAGGATGGTGGGACGGACGAGCCAGAAAAGACATGTTACAAAATGTGGCGGCATGCAGCTGAACGTCCTGGTGTCTTTGACCCACAGCATTTTACATGCTGCGTATTAGGACGTACTATATAATGTTCCAACTTACTAATCAATGTCGGTATTGGAATACAACCGAGTGTGCCTTTGACATTTCTACATTGGGGATCATTCTGACACACTGCTGCTGCCATCTGGTGACCACAGAAGGAACCTCAATGAATTCACGTGTACTCCAACGTGACAGAAGAAGGATTAATACAAAGGAGAGACACAATAGATACACTTGATAAAATGTAGACATGGAAAGGTATATGTAGTATTTATTAGGGATACACTTAATAAGAGATGGATAGATATCAATATAATATAAGTATGTATCGAAGTATTTTTTTGGGGGGGCGGGGGGGGTGAGAAGATCTGTGATCGAGATTAATTTCAATCTCAATTTCCAATACATTATTTTCTGATTGAGCTAAAAAAAAAGTTGGATTCAATTTTTAAAGCTGCGTAGCAACTAAATGATTTCTCTGGAGGACATTTTGACTTAGACTGATATGAAGTCACACTTGTAGCACTGGAAACCTGTAAGATTGTGGTAAGAAATCCTCAGAACTGCAGAGCTAGGTTTTCTTTCAGCCTACAATTATTTGACCTTAATTCACAATTAATTATTGTCCCTACATACTTGTAAATGCCTGGAAGGGCACGGCGATGCCACGCTGTGATCCCAGTGGTCCTAATAGGCTCCTTTTCTCTTACAGAGGACACAGCTGAGCAGTTCCTGCAGCTGCTGGACAGCGCCTGTGTTTTCTGGAACGCCAGCTCCCGCTTTGCTGATGGCTACCGCTTTGGACTTGGTAAGTGGGAGGGGCCTCATCACAATATCATTTGTCTTTTGGTCGCCTCTGTTCCTGTGAATCATATTATAACTTCTTTTTTCGCCAGACATTTGACATCGTCTCTCTTCTCCCACCTCTCTGTGCGTCTTCCTGTGTCTTCGCCTCCAGGAGCAGAAGTGGGTATCAGCACCGCGCGGGTCCACGCCCGAGGACCCGTGGGGCTGGAGGGGCTGCTCACCACCAAGTGGCTCCTGAGAGGCGACGGGCACGCTGCGGCGGACTTCTCCGAGCAGGGTTCCATGGAGTACCTCCACCAAGAGCTGCCTGTGGAGCGGCCTCCTGCTGGGCAGAGGGAAAGCAACTAGACCAGAGGCGTCCCGCCCACTGGGCCTTCATGTTCAGCAGCAGCTCCCCTCTGGTGTTCCTGTTTACACTTCAGAACATCTCTAAGAGTTTACACAAGTTTGCGTTCTACCTCGGCCTGTGGTTCTTTCACACCAGTTGGGTGAGTCAAGCAGAATGGGGGAAGCTAAGATGAAATACTTGAGACTAAATCTATGCTGATTCACAGAAGTTCTTCACTGTTATATGCACAATTACAGAGACGCAGTCGTTGGCGAAAGGCTCCCATCGTAAGTGCTCATTTAAACAAACGGTACAGCGGTGTTGTTGTTTCCAGCTAATTTAATCAGTGGCACAGTTTGTGATTCTCTCTAGCTTTAAAAACACAGTATCATGATTATGGGCAAGTTGTATCTTTATCTATGATGCATTTATTTGATGTTGTATATCATTCTGACCAGAAGAAGTTCCTGCTCTAAATGTACATATATTCTATAATAAGGCCTCATTTTATTTTAGCTGATTGCATTGGCTCATGCTGACTCTAAAGTATGTGCTTTCTTTGTTCATGCAACAACCCTTTTTTTATTTTTCTTGCTGTTATTTCAGATTGAAGTTCTTTCTAAATGTACAGGTATTATTTTAGATGTTGATCTATTTGTAGTTTCAGGTTAGGAACGAATGCTGTAACATTTTAGACAACAGCACTTTCTCTTAGTTTAACTCAATCCAGGTGTGTTACAGATTGAGATTTCCTCGTATTGAAACTTAATGACATTTATTCTCCACATTCAGAAATGTATCTCTTTTATTTGACAGCAATCCAAGGTAGAATACTTTTTAAAGCATCCATTTTAGAGAAAAAACCCCTTCTTGTTCCAACTTATGCCCATTGTTCCAAGCCTTGCGCTCTCCTGCTCGTTCATCGCGATGCCCAAAGCCTCCGTCAGAGCAGCAACGGTAATTGACAAGCTGCCTCCTTCAAGCTGGAGGGGCAAATGCGACGGCTTTTAAATTAAGCCCTGTAACATTCCAGCCTCTGAGCTCCTTTCTGATGTCTTACAACGCGCACCTAAGGATTGGTTTGGCTTGTATAATAGCAATGTTTTAGAATAAAAAGAAATGTTGAAAGAGAATATTTGGATATTTTTTGTGCTTTCTTTGATATTTGCAGTCGAAATGTGGAAGGTTTATACACGTATTTTCATCTCTATGCTGGCACTAGTCTTTCTACTTTCACATAGAACACAAATTAATGGGGGGAAAGAAGTTGTGCTGATCTGAAAAACAGATGTCTTAAAAAGAGCCTTTTTAAAGTTGCCCATGGGGGAATTCGCATAGCTGGAAGTGGGGCAAGGAAGACGGAAGACAATACTATAGAGGTTTAATTATCCAGCCATCAGAAATGAAAAGCCAGAAAAGGAGAACTGAGACTAATAATGGAATCACAGGCCTGCGTTCTGGGTTCCTCTGTTTCTTTCCTTTTCTTTCTCTTTCCCAGCATCTAAAGAATTCATTCTCTAAAACGCACTACTTACCCTTCAATCAGCTTCCCATCACCAAGTCCAAAGGGTTCAGAGATGAAGAGGGAGACAAAACTCGGATCTCGCTCTTGTCCTTTTTATCTGAGAAGTGATTGAAAATACCATCTAAATGACTTGAGGTAGAGAAGGAACAATCCAGGGACATTCAGTATTTTGAGGCGCAGTGTGTTATATAGTTTTATTTTACAATATCGCATCAAAGTTGTTTGCTCCGGTAACGCTTGATATTCAGCTGCACGTGTGTTTACCCAGTTGCTTTATTAACCAGTTATCTACATAAGCAATAACATGATACTGATGAGTGTTTTGTTGTGATATGGAAGGCTTTCGTTGTGAGGTCACTGACTGAAATGTCTGTATTATTTGAAACTGAACATATATACTGGCAATAAGCTAAAACCCACACCGCACTCTCAAAATGTTTAACTAAATCCTTTCCAAAGTGTCTCATACTGCATGTTTGAATCTACGTCAATAAATTATTTAAAATATGTATGATTTGATCGTCCCAACCACCTGTTTTCTTACTTCCTGAATTCTGTTTCATATTTGCATTCGCTGCCCCTTCATGACCTTATATGAACTTCTATTTATGGTTAACTGTCAGCCTCTCATCTCTTTATCGAGCTCCCAGCTGATCGGCCCCCACGTTGTACCTGCTGATGTCGTCCACAGATATAAAAAGAACGACTACGGCGAATCACTGGACTTGTACAGCAAAGCCGACAATCCTTTAATTGGGCATTACTCAAGGCCAAAAGTCACATTTCTTGTTGTGCTTGATCTTAAGAGACACTCAAATGCGCTCCCCATTGGGCTTAATTTTGATTTGAATCAATAATTAATGGTCAAAGTTATTTATTCATCTCTGCCAATTACGCAGCGTCTAATTAACAATTTCAATAATTGATATTTATTTCTGAAAGGGTTCCGTATCTTGGGCTGATGAAAAATGCATGAGCGGGGATGCGGACTGGCTTTTGTTTTTTTTTGTGCTTTTTTTTTGTTCTGAGAGAGCTTGATGCTCCGGGCTAATACCAGACCACTTTGACTCCCACTCTTTGAGTTGGCACTGGCCCTGTGATGTGGATCTAATATGGGCATCTTTCATGGACCCAACGCGCTTACTCTGCACCATGTGATCTCATAAAGACTCCGACATGCTCGTCCTCAGATTCCCCTTTTTTTTATTAGTCTTTAATATCAAACTTCAAAGAATAAGCTTCTGTTTCCTTGATAATCTTTCTTTGTGTATGTGGAATGACAATATCACGGCAAACTGCAGAAACTTGTTCCAGCACCTCGGTGGTTACATCGGGATCTGACTCTGGCCTGATGAAGCTGACTTCAATCACCAAATATTCCTCAGATTTATGAAAACTTACATCCCCCTGATCTTTTTGTAGTGACAGCTGTAGTGGCCAATAGAAAATGAACAAAGGCTCCCTTTAGTTGACTTTTATCAAGTTTTCTTTTATTGGGATTCCAGCAGGACAGGAGATTGGGAACCGTTTTCACTCTGGGACGACCAAAGCGAAAAAAAGGATCATCACTATTTATCGGGCGCCGCTTAAACACTTGAGAGTTTGCTTGAGGAACTGCAGCCAACGATGCAAAGCAAAGTAACCCAAACATCTGACACACCCGAAGCCCTCCATCATTCAAATGTGTGACTCGGGCTCAGGACACCACAAGTGTTTGGACCACACTGAAACAGCGCTTCCATCAGGGAGAAAAAAAGGGGCTTTAACACTTGGAGGCTCCGGAAGGGTAAAATGAAATCAAATAAAAGAAGAAACTGGGCCTCAGTTGAGCTCGGTGACACGTTTCAGAGAGCCCATGGTGGGGCTGTTGCTTCCCCACTCGATGTGCCTCCTGTACTCTCCCGGGCGCAAGAAGTACTGGCGTCCCCTGTAGTTGGGTTGTTCGTGCAGGATCCAGTAGCCCTCCATCACGTTGGCGGAGGAGATGTCGCGGGTGTGGAAACGCTCGTTCAGATCCGGGCAGTCGTCCATCAGCTCCAGGTTCTGACCCGCAAAGTCGGACCGCTCGAAGATCTTCATCCGGTAGTTGCCGTTGTACTGCGGGAGGAAAAAGATTACACCGTCGTTTAACATCCATTCCACCTTTATATTACTAATGCAATGACCTCATTGCTGCAAACGGGGCAGAGGGCCTCAGTCGAAGACTCACGGGTGGCACCATGCGGCAGGAGCGGATGCAGTCGTTGAAGCCTGCCCAGCGTTGGTGGTCGGGGTACTCGCCCTTTTGCAGCATGTACTGGTAGCCCCCGTAGTTGGGCTTCTCGTAGGCCACCCAGCAACCGCTGTCCACCTTTATGGAGTTGCAGCGGGTGAAGTGCTTCTGCATCTCAGGACAGTCACTGCTGCACTCATAGTGACGGCCCTGAAAGTTTTTGTCTTCGTAGAAAATAACCTGCGAGCGATGGATGGGCGAACGTTACAACTCTTGAACGAAGCTAACCTCTAGTCTCTTTTCCACAATAACTGCAAGTTAACCATTTTCCAAATAAAAATATATAGGCTATATATTTTCTTAGGACTCCAAATTGAGTTGGATAATTGCAATGATTTACTATTCTAAACAGAATACACAAGGTTAATGCAAGTAATCAACATGTTACACATAACACACAACATTTTAGTCGATTCCGCTGCGTAGATGTGAAGCGGCATGCTTACCTTGCCCATTGTAACTGCGTTAGATTCAGTCCAGGCCAAATGTCAGGCCGTGCCGGACCTCTTTATAGACCCCGCTGGGATCAGGGCTTTGCAAATGTGAAACAAAGCTTTGTCGTGTCAGCACAGTAGGCTGCATAGACCGCACGGCGCTACGGATGGCGAGCCGCCAAAGCCACGTCCGTCTATGGAAAACAGTCTGCAACTGCACTTTCCCAAAGGGCCACACAATAAGAGTTGCAACATCCGCCTTTATTGGCATGAAGGTCAGAAACCTTCCTGCAGGCGGAGAGGATGCAAAAAGAAACTGTGGGTTTTTGTTTCACTGGATGTTTGACAGTGACGGAAATGTGCTATTTCATGGTCTCATGCTACATCATGTTGGATGTTTTCGTAATGCATCGTTTTGTTCCCAAAAATCTCACAAAGCACAAAGTTATTTGAAAATCAAGTTTTTATTTTGAGCTGCGCCTGTGTCGAGTTTACATGACAGTCCTCATCCTCCTGAAGGAGCCCACCATGGGGTTGTGGCAGCCCCAGTCCCCGCAGGCCCTGTACTCTCCGGGCCGCAGGAAGTACTGGCGCCCCCGGTAGTTAGGGTGCTCGTAGAAGATCCAGAATCCCTCCGTGATGTTGCAGGAGTAAATGTCGCGGTAACGGAAGCGATCGTACAGGTTGGGGCAGTCGTCCATGAACTCCATCGTGTGTCCCATCATGTCAGGCCTGTTGTAGATCCTCATCTTGTAGGATCCTCTATACTGTGTGTGAAAGAAAATCACAAAATGATTGTTACTGGCTTCTCTGGCACGCGCTTCAGAGAGCTCTCTGGTGGAGCCTTCAGCCCTGAGCTCGTATCTTTAACTTTAAAGTTCTTGTGCACTTACTTACACCCTACGGATGAGAGTGAGCGCCAGCCCTTTTGGAGCATGACAGAATTACATTTTTCCCCTCCCTTAACTGCCAGAAACACTCAATGTGACTAACAGAATTATAATGAACGCATCAAGTCTAATAGGGGGGGGTTCATATTCCCTTTTAAAGGTTGACTGGGTCTCCTTGTGGGCCCTGCAGCGCAGTTTTATGCTCTGACCTGCCTGAGCTTCCGTTAATAACATGAAAAGGCCCAGTGATTGACATTCATTTCTTTGATGCACAAGGTGAGTGGTGGGGCGGGGGGGAGATGGGGGGAGGTGGGGTGGTATGAGAGGACTACCAATCCCGTCCGTTTGATTGACTTACGGGGGGGTACATCTGGCAGGAGCGCACGCAGTTGTTGAAGCCCATCCAGGAGTTGTATTCGGGGTACTCGCCGGGGCCGATGATGTACTGGTAGCCGCCGTAGTGAGGCTTCTCGTAGGCCACCCAGTGACCGCCGCTGACGCGGATGGAGTTGCAGCAGCTGAAGTGCCGGAAGGTGTCCATGCAGTCACTGCTGCACTCCCAGTGGCGGCCCTGGAAGTTGCGGCCTTCGTAGAAGATGATCTTGAAAGGGGAGAGAGGAGCATGTGCATCACGCGGGTTAATGTTGGGTGTAATGAACAACCAGCCGCAATACCCGTGAATGGGCTGCAGGGGACACTGCTCTCCCAAACAAACTGAGAGGCACAGGCGTGTACAAATACTGTAGGATAGAACACGCTGAACACTATGTGTGGGTATTATTTTCATAGCATTTAAATAACTCATTATATCGTCTGAACACAGTAAACTTTGTTGTTACTGTCACACAAATACGATGAACCCGTCATATTTGGCTACCATCTAGTTATTGATCGCATGAGTTTGTATTCACCCTCAAAAACAACCTCTCTTTGCCCATCGCTGCGTATTCGTTCCCTGCCACACCGTTTTCACACATACCTTTCCCATGGTTGTAGGCTTGTGGACGTCTGGCGCACCGTGGACCTGGACGCACTTACGGGTCCTTTTATACTCTCCCGCTGACGATGAGGCCCTCTGACTCGTCACGGACTGCGGTACTACTCTTTACCTTATCTGCTGTTCCCTTTGTCTGGGCAGCCGTTACCTTCTCTGCTTTCTGCTAGAGTTTACCTATAGAATTCACAACCCCCCCCCCCCCCCCTCCAACAAGTGCTATTCGGTGTTTGTATGACCCGTGTTCTGCCATGACCTGGTGACGCAGCCTTTTAAAATATCACACAAAAGGCCCTTTAGGTACGCGGCCCCTCCGACAACAAAGCTTTAAAAGTATACATGGGGTGGGGTCATTTTTTTGAAAGTCACTCACTGAAATAGTACCGAACCGTTTCAGGATTTCATCTCACACGTTGGTGTCAGCGTGGAAACACTGGAACAAAGTTATTCTACAGCCGGTCCCCGTTTGAGCGAGTTTGGATTGGTGCGTTCCCCGAGCGCGTGCGGGTCACAATGTAATTGTTATTCAATTCCTGTTAAAGGAGAAAAGTGGTTTCGGTAGTGTGGACTGAGTAAAGCTTTGCGTGTTGATGTAATCTACTGTGATATGTTGTCTCTCTTTTTGCTTCCATAGCCTGCAGTTGTGCTGTGATGCCAGACGAGACCGGTCTGTTTGCAGATGTACAGACAGAACTGCTCGGTGTGCGTGTGTTTGCGGGATATAAAAGGAGGGGGTTCGGGGCATCTGTGTGTGTTTGAGTCTCTGTATAAAATGATAGATGTTTGGACTTGAGTCTTTGGCTTGTAAGTATAGCCCAGAGCTGAAGGGGAAAAGGCCAGAAAGAGTTTGCCGCCATGTATTGTGTTCCCGAAGCCCAGCTGATGCCAGAGAGGTCACTCTCATCCTTTAGCCTTTCATCGGAATAAAGGGCTCGTGACCTCTCTCCACTTTGTGCGCTTTCTGCAGCTTCGGCTGTGTAAAAAGGCAAATGGTTCCAGAAATCACAATAGCCATTATGTTCCTGTGCAAAAAGAAAGAACACAAAAAACCCACTGCTACTGCGGCAGCGTACCCAGAGCCATATGATACCGTTTCAGTGTTAAGGAACAGCGTTGATAAGCTTTTGCTCCTTTGATCAGTCATTGACTTGAAACTCTCACAGGCTTCCGTAGCTTTCATGTTTGAAGCTGCACTCTTTTCTCCGTGACATAAGTAGATCATTGATATCCTTTCATCACAGCGTGCAGCATAATTGTGGCAGATTATCAGACGGGATGTTGTTTTGTTTCGAGAGTTTCTTGAGCAAATATTTACTCCGGCAGAAAGGTTTTATCATTATATCAACGTATAAGAAACAAATGCTGAGGCTTTCCTCGTATGTTCGTTCTCAGATTAATGATTTCATTTGTGACTAATAAATGTAAAACGTTTGTACTTGATGCAAGAAGGCAGCAAGACGACAGGGAAATCATACCCAAGTGTTCGCTTCTCTGAGGTGTCTTTAAGCGGCTACTCAGCCCGACCTCTGACCTCTGTGTTCAGAAACGGCATGTGTAACAGAGGTGCAATACAATGTCTAAACCGGGAATAAAACTGACTCGTCGTCATTGTCCCCGTTTTCATCACCGAGGAACATCAGCTAACCCTGACTCATTAGTCGGGACCTTCGGCTCTCTCCGCGTCTCTGTGGCTTCCGGAGGGGGGGGGGGGGGGGTACCGTGTTTCACGGGGCCCCTCAAATGATCATCTTTAGCTGCGCTACAAGACATCTCCTCCCCACCCTGAAGGGAAAGTAACATCACAGAGGCCCTCGCCTGCTTTCTCAGTTCCCCCCGGAGGAGAAGAAAGCTACCCGCTGCGGAGCCTTCCACTCTTCATCTCGGAATGATGGAAGAAAAGGAAAGGAGAGGGGAGCAGAGTGGGGGGGCCCAGTATTTGCGCTTCCATTGTGTCCGAGGATCTCATTTTGCAATTTGGGTATTCCGAGAGGGAGAATGACGACACTGTGGCCCCGCTGAATGGCTGTCGTTCGGGGACTCTTGTGATTGATTGGCGCCCCCACAAGAGGGGGAGAAATTTTGACAGATAGCAGCACGCGCACTAGTTAACTTGACACCTTTTTAATTTTTCCAGTTTCCGGAATAAAAAACCAAAAAAAAACCCCTCGGGGTGGGTGGTCCCTAATTAGAATGTGAACCTGGGAATTCACTCAGTAAAACACATTTTTCAGGTCAGGGGAGATTTTTTTAAATTCAAAAAAAATTGTATTGCCCTTAATCCAAACCGGGGTTTTTGGGACCCCCCCATTTACAACACGTTTCAGCCCTAACATTTTGCAGGGGGAAATAGGAGGGCAGCCCCCCCTCCCCGTGCCTCCAATTTGTTTTTTTACTGAACAGTCATTACAGGAAACATTGGGGTGGTGAGGGGTAAACAAGGGGGTTTGTTTGATTTTTGCTCCTGAGAACCCGGTTAATTTGGTGCTGGAAAATTTGGTTTGATCGGGGAAAAGCGTTTGGCATAAACCCCCCCCCCCCCCCCCTCCACACGCCGGGGAAGCGGGACGAGGACCTCTCTTTTGCTGAGAGATCATCCTCTCCATTTTTATTTTTTATTTTTTTCTGTGAGAAAATCTCCAGGCATCCTGTCCTCTCTTGTCGCTGCCAGCGCGCGGGGCTCTATCGGGATTGCCAGACGCAGGAGCCACTATGAGCCCGTGCCAGGGCCGGGATTTACCGCGATGCGTCTGATGTGCTCCATCTTTTTGCTGGGGGATAATTAAAAGAGGAAATGGTGTTGGAAGAACAGAGTGGAGAAAGCAGGAGGAGGGGGCTTGGACCGAGCAAATGGATGCAGCTGTCAATTATGTTGAGTTGTTGATATGTTGTTTGTTTTCCCCCCTCTTTGAGATTTTTGTGTTGAACTGTTTCCCCATCAGGATTTAGTTTTAAAGTTTGTGCTAAATCTCCACTCTGTATAATTAAAAAAAACAACAACATTTAGGCTAATTAAGAAGTACTCCTAGCTATGAAATCACCATAAAGATAGTTGGACTTTGTTGACCTGCAGGAGACATTTTAGGTGCAACCCTGAAGGAAATGAAAATTGCTCAAGCTCCTCGCTTCATTGGACTGAATCGATTTGAGATGCTCGACCAACACAGCGTGACCCCCCCAAAAAAAAAAAACTCTGCGGAAAGGCAGCACAAGTCCTTTCGTCCCTCAGCAGACACGCGAGGGGGAAGGGACCCTTTCGGTTGCTCTCGCTCTCCCCGTCTCCACACACGTGGCTCGTCTCCCACGCCGCGAAGCTTTGAAAGGTCTAAAGAGCAACACCTCGCCCTGTAATCCAGGTGCCTTTCAAACTAGTCACGCTGTTTACCGACACGTGACAAAAAGGGTTCACCCCCCCATCCCTTCTCATCCCCTCTGCTTACAAGACCGTAACTCACCTCGGAGCCTGGTAGTCAATCCTCCCGCAGCGCCCTGAGCAAACAGGGCCTCGGCGAGAGAGAGGGGCCCGCTGCCTCTCACCGCTCGCTAAATTTGTAATCAGGTGCGACGCTGTTGTTCGCTTCTTCGAAATGCGTCCTCAAAGCAAATGTGTTCTGACAACAGCGAGTTGACAAGTGCACCAGAGGAGAGGCAGCAAATCAGTCTTTTTCACACCGCGTATCAATTATTGATCACGTCGCCCCCTCCCCCCCCCCCCCCCTCCCTCCTCCATAGCAAGTAGACACCTTGTGATAATGAAATACATCAATTTAAAAAATAAATAATAAACTGGGGTCGGCTCCATTGTTGCAAAGCCTTAAGAGCTTGATTGACTGTCTGCGCATTCTGCTGGTTGGCAGTCATGCAGATCAAAGGAGGGCTCCTCTTATTGCCCAAGGCCACTTGCAATTTATTTAGAGGAGCGGTGCTGCCGTCCCAGCAGGTAACGTTATTGGGCAGAGACACTCAGGGTAATCATAGCTTTGAGGTGCCTCTCAAATCCCACCTCTGCTGGCTCCATCATGCATGAGCCAAAAATACAAGCATATGATTTACAAAAACCCGTCCTTATTATATTAAATCAAGGAGATAAGGTTCAAACAATGACACCTTTGTTGGCATGAATAGGTTATAGTTTGCAGTGTTTTTTAGTTTAATGTAACGTGATTTATTGTTTAAAAAAAAAGAAGTTAGCTAATTGACTTTTATGTTATATTTAATTTTAATCAATATCTTCAGATATAAACCAAAGGTTGTGTATCTAACAGTCTAAACTATCGTTTTTGTCTCAAATGTACAATATTCTCACAGGATAATGTGTTCAATGGTTCGACACTAAATAAACATTATTTCTTTGAAGAATGATGTACCATAAACATGATCGATATAAGGGAAACAATCATTTGAGGGGATAAACACGTCGAAGAAAAGAAGGTGTTATGTTACCGAGCTACATTAAAGATCAAGTCCCATTTTATCCAAAGGATTTTGTTTGTAGTGCATTGCTCCTTAATAATGTTCTTTGAAAGCCCTCCACATTAATAGTACAAAAGAAAGAGCATAATAATGGGATGCTTCTTTCATTATGAGCACACAGCACAGTAACACTTGATGTAAGTCTTAAATCACCTTCCCATAAGACCTATTGTAATGAATAACATGTTTCACCATGGATTTATATAGCACGGTTATAAACATGGCTACGACAAATATAATAATAATAGTATAAAAATACACAATTTAGTTTCCTTAAGATTTATTACAGTCAGCAGAACAAACTAGACTACAATATATACAATATATATCTTTAGTTGTTAAAGAAACATGATTCCGATCATGTTAAAAAGAACTTAGTCTGGCAAAAGTATTGTTTTTTTTATATAAAATAAAAGCTACTGTATGTATTTATGTCGGTAAGTGTGATTTAGCGTTTTAACGGAACGACGGATCAGACAGACATATAATGGTATTTGAAATGAGACTTTCCAACATCAAGCTTTGTGTAAAACACATTTCTTTTAGGATAGGAACTTTTCACAATAAAAGAAAAATCTAATCAATCTCACATTTTTATATATGGGGTAATTATCTAAATAACGTCCTTGATGTTGGTAAATCCCAAAT